TTATATTGTATCTTGAAAAACTATTACTTATAACTACATGTACGATTTAAGCTATGTGTTTCCGTGATACAAAACAAAAGATAGTAGGTATTGTACTTCATTTGCACATTAATTCTTTTCTATTTCTACTTTGAGAAACAACTAAAACCAATTAAAGAAGACGTGTAAGGAGGCCTTGAATTATAAATGTAGGTTGACACAGAATTGCAACGTACCTATGTCGTGACAATCCAAGTATTCCCACAAATTTCATTGCTCCTTATGTTACTTACGTTCAAGCAAACGCTCGACTGCCTCTGTAAACCCCTATTGCGAAATGTCGGAGTTGACAGAGACCGCCGCCATTTTGGTCCCGCTTCAAATTTTTGAATGTTGATATCTCGAGTTTGGATTTATTAATTTAAAAACAAATTATATATTTAGCCTAATAGAAAAGGTTTCTATTCACCATTTAAATATAATTGAAAAATATTGAAAAACAAAAAAGTTGAAAAATTCGACTTTTAAAATTCGCCTTCAGTAACGACAGGAAGTAGAGACGACGTACAAAAGATTGTGTCCTGGATAGTACTTATCACGATCTATAATCCCTGAAAGTTTCACGGTGATATCTTTAACCGTTCTTGAGATTAACCGCGGACAAAATGTCATTTTAAAATCGGAAAATTGTCCATAACTTGGCACCAGACAAGAATTTCCAAAACATCTCTCGGATAAAATAACTTCAGATAACAACACATTGTTCCTGCAAATTTCCTGAAAATCCATCCAGTAGTCTTCGAGAAATCGCGTGCACAAAATTAAATGTACGGAAAAATAATAATAAGAAGAAACAGTAGGATCACTATAAGGTCTTCCGTGAAGACGGAAGACCTTAAAAAAAGAATAATAAAAGTGAAAAAGAAACAATAGAATAATAGAAAGGTCTTCCGCTGAAGACGGAAGACCCTAATAATAAGAAAAGGGAAAAGAAACATTACAATAATAGAAGGGTCTTCCGCTGAAGACGGAAGACCCTAATAAGAAAAGTGAAAAAGAAACATAAGAATAATACAAGGGTCTTCCGCTGAAGACGGAAGACCCTAATTAATCATGAATGAAGCTAATTTGTTGTATACTTGTCAGTATCACAAAAATTGTGATAGCAACCGTATAAGGAAGTGTTCAAAATATATTTAGTTACCATAGCAACGTGATTTTAGACATTTAAATTTTTATTTTTTTTTTTTATTTTTTAAATGTTCGTAAGTGAAATAACAAATATAATAAGTGTTATCTATTTTATTGAAGAAATTAAATCATGCACTGAGGCCACAGATTCTGCATAATGATAACGTCAATAATTATACTGATTTCTCCTGAATTTTTCGTTGCAATAGTCAACACATTATTCTTTTTTAAAACATTGAACTTACATTTTTTTTATCATACTATATTAAAAGGACGATGTTTATTAGTGTGATATGTATTTCTTTTGATTTCTTAAAAGCTATAATGTACAAAAAGGAGCCAAATGTTGAATCTACAAAATAATCCAAATTCTCCATAGCAATCATTTTTGTTTTCATTTTATTTTATTTTAGGAAATAATACCTCTCTAGAAATTTTATATTTTGTTGAGTCAATGAACTTTTCAGAGATTGTATTTGTTTATTATGGACTGCCCGCGTTTTCTTGCTACTATGCTTCGAAAATGCGAAAAATTGGCATTTTTATGAATTTGTTTAAATTTAAAAATTTGACAATTTTCATTCAAAGACAACTCTTTCATGACCTACTACTGAATAATTTCAGCAGTGTTGGTAGTTACTCCAACAAATAGTCTATCAGATTAGGCAACAATTAAATCTATAAATAATATGTAGAAAATAGAAATTTATGATGAAGATGGTATACTTTCAGTAGGTTGCTCTGCATTTTTGGCCTCAAAATGGTGGTTTTGGTTACCATGGCAACCGGGACTCAAAATAAAAAAAAAAAACACGAAAATATTCTATACATGGTGTTTCACATTACATGCAAAAATTCAGCAAAATCTGTGATTTGCCATTTCCAACTTTTTTAAAATTGTTTGATTCTTACAGAGAATGACTCCTAAGAGGCAGTCCACCGAAAAACCAGGCAATGGGTGGCTCATCGCATGTCATGCATTTTTTTATTTTTGGCATGTAGACTCATTAAAGCAAGTGTTTACTCATGACAACATAAAAAAAAAAATTAGTGGTCCTCTTGTCCTATTTTTGGTAAATGCCTAATTTTAAGTGCAAAAAGATCAACATGAGGGTAAAAAAATTACTACGTTTTTATTCTGTTTTTTTTTTCATGAAACAGATTCTCAAAAGCTTGATATGTCAATCAATATTATTTATAGCATAGACTCTTATCATTTATTTTATAATGAATAAGACTCCAAATTATGTTTCTTTAGAAAAAATTATGTGGTCCAAAATTGAGTTTAGCAAGTGACGTTTTGAATTCTGTATCCAATTTTAGATACTATATAAAGTCCAGTACATTACTACGACAGAATTTTTTCCTGATGTTATTATGAAAACAAAGTACAAACTTTTGAATCACTTAATAAAATAGTGGGAACAGGTATATTGAGAGAAATAAGAGGAGTCAAATTTACCTGTTATCAACGATTTTTCCCAAATTAAACCGATCCCGATCGGAATTATATAAAGAAGAAAATATCATAATTATACTATTATTAAATTTTGGACTTTATAAATTGTGCCTTATCTTCGATCGGGATCGGTTTTATTTCAATCGGGATTGGTTTTTACCAGATACAGTGGCTGCAACGTTATTGTTGACAACTTACGTGAACGATCACGTTACACGAACGATTCCGCACGATTAAAGCACGATTAAACCTGTTACACGAACGATCCTACACGCACATGATTCTACACGTTACACGATCTTACACATGTACTCGATTGCTAACGGAAACGCACGATTCTTCACTCAAAATAGTTCAAAATATTTAGGAATCGATATTTCCAAAACGAAGTACGGCTTAATACTGATTTAAAGATTTCAAAGAATTATCAATATTATTTCATAGAATTTGAAAAAAAAAAACAGAAGTGAATATATCTGTGACTAAATACACGCAATACACGCAAGACTTAACATTTTAGATTATGAATAATTATTTAGACAATTCTCCGAGCTAAAAAAAAAACGGATTTTTTTTTTCGTTCTATCAAAATTCAAAAGATGTACATGTACATGTATATGGACCGTATAATTTGATTCAATTAATTTGGATTCATGATAAGCAGAAAGGGGGTACGATTGGGGAAAAAAAATGGCAGCATGGAATGACTTAAATTACAAATTATATCCATAAGTTTCCATTGATTTAATGTTTGTAAATCTCTAAAATGAACTTGCCAATTTTTTTTTATTTGCAGAAATTTTAAAAAATAATTAAAAGTTTCTGAGATAAACACAGATAAACAAAACTCCGAAAACCATGTCTTGTGCATGTATGTTCAGCATACAGTATGTAAGTAAGCATTGAGAAATGTTTATTTATTTGTAAAAAATATTTATTTTAGACGTATTGATTTCAAAAATATCGTGATCACAATTACCAGTAAGCAAGAATGAAAATCAGAAAAAAAAACCGTTAAAAATCTAACTACGGTTTATCACAATAATGTCGATCGCGCTATTTGAAGAGAACATAATATTGTACGACGTACTATATTGCTTGTTTACGAGCGATAATTAATTCGTTCTTCATTTAATTATGTAAATTGCGCTTCATTCATTTTATTTGGATTTGAATAAATAACAATAAATTGTAGTAAGAAAAGAGATAAATGATTATTTAATAAAAACATTCCAATAAAAACTTACAAAACGAAATTTACACATTTGGAACGCACGATCGCGCACGTTTAAAACCGCAAACGATTGAGTCTGATACACGCACGATCTCGCACATTATACGAACGATCTCGCACGTTACACGAACGATCACGCACGATACACGAACGATTATAAACGGTAGGTTTGTCAACAATAACCTAGCAGCCACTGTATTACCTAAAATTGGTTCTTCTTTTTATTTTGTCAGAAAAATCTGCCTAGTATCTTTTGTTTCTTTACAGTCAGTAAAATGTTTTAAATGATTTTGTCCATAGATTGAAATGTACGTACACTAGGATATTTTAATGCTCTTGACGTCTTTTACGTACATGAAGATTACAGATAGAGTACATGTACATGTAAAACGTATATGTTTGATTTCTTGATACTCGGTATTTGTACATACATTATGCCACTACTGAAAGCAGAAAACTTAGCATCATTAAATATCTTATTTCCAAGTATTTATTTTAATCATTATTTTTTCAGGAATTAAAAATTTGAATTCTATGAGTGGCGAAATTATTCTTGCACATCTGTTCCTAAATACAGAAAATATATATTTTATGTTTACAAGTTTTTCAATCTGTCATCCGTTAAGCCTTTTACCCCATATTTTTTCTTTTACAAAATTTTGTTTTACGTAAATAAAAAAAATAAGTTCTTTCACACATATATCATTATTTACGTGCCCATAAATCGCAAGCAAAAATCTGGGGAGGGGGGGGGGGGGCAAGGCGGCATCAAGGCATCATTTTTTTCATTTTAGAATTGGCCAACATAGTCATATATTTTAACTCCATATTAAATGTGAGTGTTTCGATCTCCAAATTATAAAAATTAAAAAAGTGTAATGGTTTGGGCCGTGGATATCGGCCTGGATAGCTCAGTTGGTAGAGCACCTGACTAGAGATGCAGGGTCCTGGGTTCGATTCCTGGTCCAGTCTTACATTTTCTCCTTTCCTGTTACAGAATTGGTGCCGTTGACAAATCAACCCAAGTGGAATTGCAGGTGAAAGTCCTGCCAGGGGCGATTAGGAACTTGGGTTGTGTCTTCGAGGGTGAAGACCATTTAAGGAGGGAGGAATGTAATGGTTTGGGCCGTGGATATTGGCCTTGGTAGCTCAGTTGGTAGAGCACCTGACTGAAGATACAGGGGTCCCGGGTTCGATTCCCGGTCTAGCCATACATTTTCTCCTTTCCTGTTACAAAAGAAAACGAAATGTTTCTCTAAACAATCTTCCGTTTAAGTGACTGTGCCAAATTGAAGTGGGGAGTTCGGCAGTAATTTTCCTCGATAAATAGCTTTATAACATTTATCAGGGCTTTTGCTTCATATTTTAATCGGACCACTGATTGTTTTATTTTAATTTGACTGCATAGATAAATATATTCAAGATTTTGCAAATATCATGAGGTTAACATTTCAACTTCATTATATCAAATGTTGCGTTAATCTAAAATATTCACGATTCCTGGATAATCAGAAGAAAAAAATCTCTTCACTTCCCAATTACATAAGAAATGTTCATTTACGAACATTTCGTATATAAACACTAAAATAATTATTTTTACACATATCCTAGTAAATCAGTTTTAAAAAAATTAGTTCGTAGACATGTATAAGAGATACAAAAAAATATTATTTATCATTTAGGATAATGCACTCTGTAGAGTAATTGAACAGAAAAAGAGAAATTATTTATTTCTAATTCTTTTTCTTTGCAAAGAATTTACAAACTTCTCTGGAAAACTTGTAACTAATTAATTGTGACGCAGTCGGGTATATGACGTCACAGATACATCAATTGAAACGTGGATTCAGCCTGAATAATACAGCCCATTTTTATCTAAGTATTACGTTTGAAGGCAAAAATGAGTTCTTTTTTGAAAATAAAGTAGTTATCTTTTGTTAAATTATTTTCATTAGTGTATCAATTCTAAATATTTCACTAGGATTCCGATAGCAAGGTGTGTAACAGATTTACCGAAGCCATGGGATATAACTCTTGCATTGCAAAATTTCATAAAAAAGTCTATATATTTTGCCAGAAAACTAATTCAAAAGTGTTTTTCCCACCGATTTTATTTTTTGAAACAGAAAAATGAAATATTTCTTGGTCTAGTTCAGCGTGAATTATAGTCCTGTTAAAAATGTATTGGAAATTAGAGTTCTTTGTTTCCGACCTAAATTCAATGGGGAACTCAAAAACACGAAAAAAAAGGACATTTTACTAAATAAGCTATTTTCAAACAAATGAGTCACCATCTGAAGTCTCAGGATATCTGATATAATGCCCATTAAGAGATTTTACCAACGTGCCAATCATGCTGCTCAATCGACGCCTAATAAGCTCTAATACGTCATGCTTCTCTTCACCCTGCCATAATAATCTGGGCACAATTTTGGACCAAATAATAACAGTTGTAGGAAACATGTCCTGAATTTTCCTTACTGTTCCCACCATATGATGTCGCAACTCTGTTGAAGGTCTGCACCCTATATCATTACCGCTGCAATGAATAATTAAATAATTAGGAGGAGCATCCGAAATTTTTAAGAGTTTTAATTTTCCCAGTAATTGATGCCAACGCCTACCCCCTGTCCTTGCCACAAAATACTTACATTTATCCTCACCAACCCTAAATTTGCACAGTCTTCACTAGATCTTGCCTCAATAAATGCTCTCTTAATAATAGATGATACCCTACTATCCAAACAGAACCAGCACCTACACGTACATCATCTACAAATGTATATTGGTAGATAATTGTATAACTTATCTACACTTTTCCAGTTAGAATATTATCTTAACATATCTACATTAACTACATCAATCTAAACATCAAAATGAACAACAAAGACTCTGCACTCAAACTAATGGTTCTAATACAATTCTAGTTGCATCATCACTACGAGCTACTAGCCAATCTGGATTTAGGCACTCTAATGTAAGATTTAACTGATGCTGATTTCCAGCGACTTAATTAAGCCCATGATTTCATCTTCTGAAAGACCAACTAGACATCCTGTTGTTGCAGCACCAATCCAAAAGAATGATTTAAAACTGCTTTTGCAACCTCAAGTCAGTTTTAAAACAGCATTAAACTGATATCTAGTCACTGGTACACCATCAGCATGCAGAAAAAGTAAACCCTTACATAGTGGTCTTATTCTCATGTAGTCAGAGACTGCTTTAACTGGGCAGAGCCCTTCTTTAACCCTAGGTAACAACATCAAAGTTCCCTTACCCTTCTGATCAGTTTTTGAATGCTTCAATAAAACCTCTAATCCTTTACCCGTTATAAAAACATCGACAAATCTTAATGCGCATGCATGACCCATATCTGAATGACAGTTAGCAACTAACTCGTTGACTCTAAAGAAACTAAAAAATGCCATTACAAAAATAGCAGTGAATCAAATTTCTTCAAATCTAGATGAGCACACCTGCCCAAGAACACCAGTAAGCTTAATAAAGACACCTATTGTTACTGGCTTTCTAAGATCCTGAGTTGCACTAGTTCTACCCAAACTCTCTAACAGCTTGCTAACTATTAAAAGATTCTCTTCCATGCCCGAAATCTTGCAGTGAAATGAAATACTTGCTAGATATGTCTAAACCGTTTTGTAAGCACAACTTTTTAATGACAAGTATGATATGAACTGAACTAAAAAGCTACCTTTGGAGGCCAAGATAACCCAACTTTATAAACATGACAAAAAATTTTAAGTTCCGTGAAGCCTGACTCATAAACCTTGCGAGTGTTTGAGGCTAAGGATGAATTTAACAATCTTGCGGATTCACATTCAATAGCATTTGCCGAAAAACGTCTGGAGTAGGACTCGGAGCCTCTTCTGCTTGTGGATGCTCCCGCCGGAACCTAGTGAACTGCTGTCGAGAAAGAGCATCTGCCACAGAATTTTCTTTACCATAAATATGCTGCGCCTTAAAGAATATGTTATTTAACATTCTATTCAAAACTAGTGACCACAGTAACACCATGACTCTTTTTGATTTTGAGGATTTTTTGTTCTGTACAAATACCAGGTCCTTGTTATCAATAAACAAAATAATTCTCTTGTTTGTCAAAATATCACCCCAGATATTAACAGCCATGCAAATAGGGACCAACTCTAAAAAGGTAAGATCACCCATGACTGGGGTCCCTGCCCCACTTGTCGGCTACTTGAAATAAGCCCAATGAGCTCCTAACACTGCACCACAACCTAACTCTGCACTTCCAGCACTGTCGGTATAAAAATGCAAATCTACACTATTGTACCAATCTAACTTCTGAAAGTAACGATAACCATTAAAATTCTCTAAAAAAATTAGCCAAATTCTGATATTTTCCTTCAACTCTCTACTTACTCTTTTGTGATGTCTACTGGATGTGACTCCTGCCATTGCATCGATAAAACGCCTGTTAAATGCCCTAACTGAAGGGATTGCCCTTGAACAAAAGTTAAGTAACCCTGTAACAGACTGCAATCATTTTAAAGTTACCTTTATTTTGCCTAAGATTTCCAACAGTTCAACTGATAGTCTTTCCAACTTATCCTTTGGGATCCTGATTTGCTGGTTAATAGTATCACTCACCAACCTAAAAACTCAATAACCGTTGTTGGCCCTACTGTTTTCTCATCTGCCAAAGGCACCCCGACTTCCTTACAAATATCCTGGAATAACTCCATAAGCAGTTTGCATTGTAAAGTACCCGCTTTTCCAGCTAATAAAAATCATCTAAATAGTGCACAACATTGTGCAACCCCGACTTTGAAACTAAGCCCAAATCCAAAAATGCTGAAAACTTTTCAAACAGATAGCATGCACTAGCACAACCCATTGGGAGACATTTGTCAAAATAATACTTAATATCACAAAGCTTAAAGCCTAACAACACAAACTGTGATGGGTGCCGCGGCATTAAACGAAATGTCCCTTTAACATCAAGCTTAGCCAGAAAGGCACCCTATCTATGGGAATTAATCACGTCAATTGCCTTATCAAAAGAAGTGTATGAAACTCTACAGTTACGACTATCTATAAAGTCATTTATACTCGCACCAATTGGATGTGAAAGATGATGAATCAAGCGCCAAGACTTATGTTTCTTAAGAACCAAACCAATTGGAGATATGTGTAGAATTATGAGCGGTGCCTTATCAAATGGACCTGCTGTCCTACCCAGACTAACCTCTTTACTAATTTTTTTCTAGAGCTTCCTGTTCATTGATCTTAATCGACTTTAAATTATCACATTCACACCCCCCCTCCTTGGGCCTTCATAATGCAAGTGAAAACCCTCACGAAAACCCAATAATAATTACTCTGCATCGTCTCTTAAAGGGTAAGCATTCAAATAAGTCAAATAAGGCCTAAGGCATTCTACTTTAATTGGAGTGTGAGCGACGGACAGAAGCTCTAATTGTTCCATCTCCTCCTCTTGGGGTGCTGAATCTGGGCACTGATGCTCGTGGTCCTGAGTATGCTTGACCACTACCAGCTTGGACAGCAGGGTTCCTAAAAGTGGAAGAAGCCGAACTACCCACACTAACTCTAAACTTCACTGAAGGATTAAAACCTGAACATTTTAAACATGTATGTTTATACTGACATGACTTCTTAACACAGACCCCATTAAAATTGTAATCATAACATTTCAGCGAGCCTGTTGAAACCTTACTGTAATTATTACTGGCCTCAGTAGTAGAAAAAGACATATAGCGCAACCAGAGTTCCTGATCTATACTGCCCCATGAAATGGAAGGATTGCTTACTCTCTTTAACCTGAACTGGATATCATAAGCTTTCCACCCTAAACTAGTTACTGGCAACCTACTGTCTCCCAAACGTACATTGTACATGTGCCATTGAAAAAATGCTAGCATAAGTAATAAATGCATTTGTCCACTCATCGAAAGTTCTGATTTTACGCCTGGGTATTTTAGATTTTACAATTAACAAATAATCAAATACTGAAAGTTCCCTATTATCATCATATACATTCGAGTTATTGAGTAGCAACAAAGCCAGATCAATATAATCAGAGTTGATAATCTTTGATTTGATGGTGTTTGAGACATGGTAATTAAGTTCATTCTAAATACCACAAGTCTGATTTAATGATGCATCTTGTGCTGATTCAATGATATAACCAAGTGTTTGAGGGTCACTAGTA